GGGATCCGAACCCGGGGCCTTGGTGCTATCAGCACCGCACTCTCCCGAGTGAGCCACGGGCCAGCCCATTTTAATCCTATTTTTCTACAAACTTTCTGAAGTAGCCTTGTGCTTCTTGGGGGTGAGTGAAAGGATTAATTGAGACAATGGATGCAAAAACAATTTGTGAAAGTAATAAAGTAATAAATGCTTCCCTTTCCCCACTGAGGTTAAAGGTGGGGACTCTGGAGCCAGACTGCCTTGGTTGATGTCCCTGGGCTGTCGTTTACCTGCTTTGTGTTCTGTTAGCAAATCACCTCACACCTCTATGCCTTAGTTTCCTCATCTGCAACATAGGCATGCTCACGTGGTTGTTGTGAAGATTAAATAAATGAATTAACCAGGCAAATTGCCTGGTACCTACTAAACACTATATTTGTTCTATTTTTTTAAAAGATTTTTATTTTCAGGGCTGGCCCGTGGCTCGCTTGGCAGAGCGTGGTGCTGACAACACCAAGTCAAGGGTTAAGATCCCCTTACCAGTCATCATGCAAATTGCCTGGTACCTACTAAACACTATATTTGTTCTATTTTTTTAAAAGATTTTTATTTTCAGGGCTGGCCCGTGGCTCGCTTGGGTGAGCGTGGTGCTGACAACACCAAGTCAAGGGTTAAGATCCCCTTACCAGTCATCTTTTTTAAAAAAAAAAAAGATTTTTATTTTCAAATAATTTCTGGTTCACAGAAGTGTTGTAAGAATAATACAAAGAACTCCTGTTCCTTGAATATCCTTAATTCAGATTTACTGATTTTTTAACAGCTTTATTGAGGTAGAATTCACATACGATTTAATTCAGGCATTTAAAGTATACAGTCTCATTTTTTCACATTTACTAATTTTGAACATTTGCCACACTTTACTTTTATCTTTATGTATGTGTATATTTTCTTGAACCGTTTGAGAGTAAGTTTTGGATATCGTATACTTTTATCTCTGTATGTATTTCTTTTTTTTTTTCTTTTCTGTATGTATTTCTTTAGAACAAGGACATTATCTTACATAATCATAGTACAACTGTAAAATTCAAGAAATGCTATTTAAAATACAGTTCAGGGGGGCTGGCTGGTTAGCTCAGTTGGTTAGAGTAAGGCCTTGTAACACCAAGCAAGGTCAAGGATTCAGATCCCCAGACCAGCCAGCCACTTAAAAAATAAAATATAATACAGTTCGTATTTGGTTTTCACTGATTGTCCCAATAATGCCCTTTATGGTAATGTTTCCCCCAATCCAGGAACCAACCCAGGATCATGTGTTGCATTTGGTTGTTATATCTCTTTAGACTTCTTTAATCTGGAATCATTCTTCAGCCTTTTTGGATTTTCACAACATTGACATTTTGGAACAGTACAGGTCAGCTATTCTGTAGACTATCCATCAGTTTTGGTTTGTCTGATGTTTTCTCATGACTAGATTTAGGTTTTGCATTCTATTGTCATTATCATTATTATTCTGGAGATTAGAACAATAACAGTAAATGGGGCTATTGTCAGGACTAAATCAATCATGTAACAGTGTGTTTACACAGTGAGTGTCCAATAAAGGATGATTGTTGTTGCTGGTGGTATTATTAACCTGCAGGGGGATGGGCCTGGGAAATGAAGTCTATGAACAAGGTTAGAGGGGTTGGGAAGGAGAACCACTACCCTTCACATAGCCCTCTAGGAGAGGCTAGCGTGAGACCCAGCACAGAGAGACTGAGCATTTTGTAGGGTGGACATAGGGCTGGTGAGGTCATTTCTGCAGGGGTGCCTAGTGCTGAGAGTCATCAAACATTCCCTGGCCCTGACACTGGCTCTTCATGATGACTCCAACCTGGACCTGCCTTTCTGACTTGATGCATTGCCTGGGTCCTTCTAGTTCCTCTTCCTCTTCTCCCCTGTGAACCAGGTACTTCAGAGACTCATCAAGTCCCGAGGGAAGTCTCAGTCCAAACACCTCAATGTCCAAATAGCAGCCTCGGAGAAGCTGGCACAGTGTCCCCCGGTGAGTGCTCAGACCCCGGGCAAGGGAACGGAGGGAGGATGTGTGGGTTCTCTTGGTCTCCTCTGGCCTGCAGGGGAGACAGAGTGACCAGAAACACTTGGGCCAGGTCTACAGGTGCAGACTGGTCTTTGGGGAAAGAGTGCTGGACAGGCAGTCAGTGACTGGGTTCAAGCCCCAGAAGCACCCCTTCTGGGTGGGGAGTCAAGCCCCTTCTCCCAGCCTTGGTTGCCTTATCTCTAGAATGAGGTAGTTGGACTCTGAGTGCCAAGACCTCTCGGAGTTCTGCCAGTCCATAGATCTGAGAGCCCTCCTTCCCTTCCTCCACATCCAGAGGCCTCTTTTTAACCGTGTCCTTCAACCCCTTGACTCCACCCACTGCACCCAGGCCACACCCTCAATCCCTTGGTCACGCCCCCGCTCATCCCAGCCCCTCCCCTAACCCCACCTCCACAGGAAATGTTTGACATTATCCTGGATGAGAATCAATTGGAGGATGCTTGCGAGCACCTGGCCGAGTACTTGGAAGCCTATTGGAAGGCCACACACCCGCCCAGCAGCACGCCGCCCAATCCGCTGCTGAACCGCACCATGGCGACCGCCGCCCTGGCTGCCAGCCCTGCCCCTGTCTCCAATCTGCAGGTACAGGTGCTCACCTCGCTCAGGAGAAACCTCGGCTTCTGGGGCGGGCTGGAGGCCTCGCAGCGGGGCGGCGGCGCTGTGCCCCAGCAGCAGGAGCACGCCATGTAGCAGGGGCCCCGTCCATCTTCCCTCCCCACCAGGGCTTGGAACTGGAGTGCAGGAAACGTGGGGAAGGAAGGAAGGAAGTTTATTTTGTAAAAAATGTGGTGAGCGGCAGCTTCCGGTGTCTGTGGTTTTTGATGGGACTGAGGCTGGCTGGTGCCACTTCCCTGGGTCTGGTTCCATAGGACTACATCTGCTGCCTATGGGATATAAAGCCTGATTGGGGCTACGAAGAAGATAGGAGGAAGACTGATATACTCATTCGCTGGACTCCACACCCATTTTAGACCCAACAGAGCAGGGACCCTCCGACCCAGGAAGACCCACAGAGTAGAGCAGTGGCCATTAAACCCAGAGAGACTGCCTCTGCCCCAGAGCCCTAACCCCAGGAGGCCCCTCAGGAGGCACCCAGAATGTAGCATCTTCTAGGATTTAAACAGATTCCAGGAAAGGCCCTTTGAGTAGAGCAGTGGCCATTAAACCCAGAGAGACTGCCTCTGCCCCAGAGCCCTAACCCCAGGAGGCCTCTCAGGAGGCACCCAGAATGTAGCATCTTCTAGGATTTAAACAGATTCCAGGAAAGGCCCTTCTGTGGGTGCCCCATCCTGCCTCACCCTCGTCCCATGGGAGCCACAGCCCATCTTTGAGAGCACACCATTAAGGATATGGTCTAGATTAGAGCCAGAAGAAACCCATGAAATCATTCTACACTGTTGCTTTGCAAGTTGATTTTCAGCAGCAGCAGAGCCCATTTGTTCACTGAATCTTACGTGGAAGCTGAGTATATAGATGAGGCCTCCTTGCTCTTCTCAGAGGAAGTTAGGCACTTGGCCTGCCCTTCATCTCCAGGGGGACCCCTGAAGCACTTCTGTGCCCTCCTGCTCCCACCCCAGACCTCCAGGGAACAGTTTGGAAACTGCAGCTCCTGTCTGATCGTCATCACGCTACAACCGAAAAACTGGGCCACAGAGAGGGGAATCATTTGCTCAGGGTCACACAGTTTGTAAGCGGCAGGGGTAGGACTAGAACCCAGGCCTCTGTTTGCACCCCACCTCACAGCCTCTGCTGGCAGTGGCCGTCAGCTCACCTTCACATGGCATTTGGTGATGAGGACACTGGGCTACATCATTGGGTCCAGTGGGGGATGGAGGCCCATCAGTCTTCCCCACCCTGCTGCTTTGAGTTCTTGTTGTGGGTAGGAGAGGAATCCCATCAACCTTGGAGGCTCTGTCATCTGACCAGGGAATGGGGGGAGAGGCTTGGGGTTCTGGAAGCTTGTGGTTGGGGTCTGGAGTTGGGGGCTGAAGAAGCCGGGGTCAGTGAGTTTTAGCTGAAATCCTCTCAACATATTTGGAAAACTGGAGACAATGACTAACCCACTTAGCCACTAATGAGTGGCAATACTAATGAGCTGTTAATGATGGTTAACCCCCAAGACAGCATGCATGGAGGAAGTGGTGACTAATTATTCATGGACTGTCTACCATGGTTACCATGAGAGTTCATGCGTCCTCATGTCTTATGAAGGTTGGGCACCCTCTTTCCCGATGGTGAGGCAAATGCCTTGAGGTCTGTGTTCAGACCGGGCTCTAGAGCCATTTCCCCGGGGTGCCCATCCCTAGAGCCAGCGCCCTCCTTCTTCAGCCAGGCTGGGTGTCTTGGTGCCCTCACTAACCTGTCTTGCTTTGTTGTGTTTTTCTCACCTCGGCCCGATGTGCATGGTGTGTGCCGTCTGTCTGCTAACCAGGGACCCTACCTTGCTTCCGGGGACCAGCCGGCCACGGGGGAGCGCGCCAGCGTGCACGAGTACCCTGGGGAGCTGGGCCAGCCCCCGGGCATGTACCCCAGCAGCCGCCCACCAGGCCGGGCAGGCACCCTGCGGGCACTGTCCCGACAAGACACATTTGATGCCGACACCCCCGGCAGCCGAAACTCTGCCTACACGGAGCTGGGAGACTCATGTGTGGACATGGAGACCGACCCCTCAGAGGGGCCAGGGCTTGCAGACCCTGCAGGGGGCGGCACCCCACCAGCCCGGCAAGGCTCCTGGGAGGATGAGGAAGAAGACTATGAAGAGGAGCTGACCGACAACCGGAACCGGGGCCGGAATAAGGCCCGCTACTGCGCGGAGGGTGGGGGTCCAGTTCTGGGGCGCAACAAGAACGAGCTGGAGGGCTGGGGGCGAGGCGTCTACATCCGCTGAGAATTGGAGGCCACAGCGTGGGAGGAAGGGCGCAGAGCCCAGGGAAGGGGAGGGACCGAGGGGCTCACCACCTGGGATGTATCTTGCCTCCAGGGGGCGGTGTCGCCCTCTTTTCAGATGCCTTTGCTCAATATGTTCGGGATTTCTTTGGTGGTATCCCAGCTCCGGGGAGGCCCTTAAGCCCCAGCTCTAGGTTTTTACCTACCTGCTGTGGATGGATAGGGGATACCCACCTTTCTGAACTGTCCCCTTTTCCCCATTTTAGGGGGCTCCCCCCTCCCTCCCACCCCCGCGAAAAGGTGCACTTCCTTCACTCTTTCTACTTGGGGCTCTAAGTGAAGGTCCTAAATGGGGTGGCCTGTTTTTTCCCAACCTGGAGTATCTGGGAAGAGTTTAAGCGCTTTTCCTGGAGTGGGATGCCACAGACTCTTTCCGATAGGGGCTCTCTTCCCCAGACCCCAGATCCAGGGCCTTCACCATGTCCACCCCCTCCCCACAGATTCCTGGCAGCATTGTCTGATAGGTGAAAGCTACAGCATGGAAGCCCTGTGGGGAGCTTGTGTTGGGTCTGGGTGGAAACTGGCAGGCCTTAGACGTAGCACCCTCTGCTCTCTATGGCCATGGCAATGCTCAGGGCCTAGAACCCTGAGGAGTGGGCAACCCAAGACGCTGCTACCCACCTCACCACCTCCATGCCTCAGCCTTTGCCTGCTGCAAGAGTGAGCTTTGCCTACAACATCCCTTGCCTGCTGCCATCAGAAGAAGGGGCCCCTTTGCATCTGAGCCCCTCATCCCCATTTCAGCTGGGTGTGGAGCCCATGGAACACTCTAGCCCGCCTCATTTTAAACCAAAAAACAACTCCTTCACCCTTATCCTGAGGCCCCAGGGGAGCGGTTCTGTGAATTGGTGCCCAAGAGGGGACTACCACCCCAGGTGTTGCCTTGGGACCTCGGATCTCCCCTGAGGGGCTTGGCTGCTGCTGCTGCTGTTACTGCTCTGTTTGCCTCTTGTAATCCTGTCTTTTACCCATGTCCACTTCCCCCAGGAGAGGCCTTGGTATGCCCACTCCCCTTGGGTATCCATCTGTCTGCCTCAGCATCCCCATAGCCCAGCAGCCCTGCCCCTCCCCAGCATCCCAGCTGGGCCAGAGAGAGCCGAATGTGCCAACGAGGACTGGGCCCTGCCTGGCTGCCCACCTCAGGGATGGGCACCTAATGCCTGTCTCGCCACCTCCTGTGCCAATGTTGTCCCACCCCCTCCTGGGGGTGGGGTGCAGCTTCCACTTACTGGTTAGAAGATACCACTGCCCACCTTTTTCCCTTCCCTGTCTGGTGTCCTGTGCCCCATGTGTCTGTCTATTTGTCTGTACTCCCCTAGGAAAAGTATTTTGCCACATATAAAACCGCCGTCCTGTCCTTTGCGGACACCTCTTGAGCCTGCTTCTTTGTTCCTGCCACACGGTTGTCAGCCTAGGCACGTGGGGTGGGTGGGTGCAGGAATAAGCCGTGCCCTGAGTTGAAGCAAAAGGCGGGTCGGCTCCTTGCTTTGCGGCCCTCTGATGCATTACATTCAAGCCTGACGGGAGCTGCTTGCCCTGTCTCAGCTCCCCATTCAGCCCCAAGCCCCACGCCTTACCTGTGTCCTCACAAGTAGAGTCAGAGGTAGTGGGAAGCTGGCATGTTGCTCAGAGTGTGAAGTCCAGACCCGCTTGCTCAATGTCTTAAAGGCACATGCTTGTTTTTTGGCTCCTATAGCCTCAACGCACCCCTACACCTCAGGAGAGGGAGGAGCTGCACTTCGGGCTCCACTAATGCCCCCTCAGCCCCTGCTAATCAGCTTTGGGGGTGGGGAGGTGGTCTATTTGTGCATGGGGTTGGGGGAGAAAATCAGGGACTCTGCCAATCCCAGCCCAAGAAGCGAGAGGAAGAGCCAGCAAGCGGGTGGCTGTGCGTGTTCCTGCCACCCCCAGTTGGCAGGATGGGGACTTCTGACAGTTGTTACTTCAGCCACCTGTATCCTGCCTCACAGAACACCCACAAACCATTTCTCCACCCTCCTGGTTCTTGTTTCTAAGATGGTGGTCCCGGAGGACTGAAGTTCCTGGGTCATCCACCTTAATGCTCTTGCCCAAGTGTGTGTGAGAGTGTGTGTGAGTGTGTGTGTGTGTACAGAGGACAACAGACACTTGCCCCCCACCCCCACCCTGCCAGATGGGGAGTTAGCAGGTCAAAGGAACGAGGAACTGGGCATGCCCAGAGGTCAAGCGCTGTATTCTTCCGGCCCAGCACAGTACTTTTCCCACTGCCTTCACATGGAATCAGTCATTCATTCCCCTGTTTATGCATTGAACAGACATTTACCAGGCACAAGTCTAAGTGGGAGCCACAGCCGATTTCAGTACAGCACAGTGAGCTCTCTGATGTGGGAAGCAATGGGTGCTGTGGGCACCTGGAAGAGAGATCGGTCCCTTAACCTGGGGAGGTTGAGAGGGGATTCCCAGAGGAGGTGAGGCTTGCGTGGAGTCTAGAAGCGCGGTTAGGAGATAACCTGGGAAGATAAGTAGGGGGAGTGTTAAAGGCAGAGGAAGCAGGGGACATGCATGACATGTTCTTGGCATGTAACTAGCAAAGTGTGCTCTCAAGGTGGTGGCTAGACAGGGGCTGGCAGGAGCAGGGCACAGTGGCCTTTGAGTCATGTTAAGGAGTTTGGGCTTTGTCCTGAAGCTGGTGTGCAGAAATTTGGAGGATTGTAAGCAGCGATGGCAAGATTGCCTTGCTTGCCTTTAGAGCATAGATTTTTGGGTCTAGCCTGGAAACAGCTGCAATACTCCAGTTGAGAAAGGAGAATTTGCCTCAGGCCATAGCAGTGGAATGGGAAGGAAGGCCTTGATGGCCAGAGACATCTAGCAGTTAGAATTGACAGCTCTTGGAGAGCAAGTGGAGGTGGCCAGTGAGAGAGAGGGAGGCATCCGAGGTGACTACGGATGGTGGTGTTCCCAGACATAGAAGACACAAGTGAAAAAACCAGGTTAGAGGCAGAAATGATAAGTCTGGCTTTGGGCAAGATGGGTTTAAGTGCCTGTGGGACACTGAAGAGGAGAAAAGCAGAAGACAGCTGGGTGCATGGTTTAGAGCTCCACAGAGAAGTCTCTGGTGAAGTCTGATCTTTTGCATCAAGGGCAGGGATTATTAACTCTAGTTTACAGACAAAGCTCAGAGAGGCTGGGCTACCTGTCCACAGTTACACAGCCACGGAGCAAGGACTTGAACTCAGATATACAGATTTCAAGTTCTGCAGTGCCTGTGACCCCAAAGTCCAATGCTAATTCCTCTGCCCTAGGATGCCCCAGCCTCTGCGGGGGGGGGGGGGGGGGGGGGGGGGGGGGGGG